CCCCAAAACCCCAAAACCCCAAAACCCCAAAACCCCAATGAGAGATTTCACCATTGATTCATGAGTTAAATATTGTCCAACCTCAATGTTACCCAATAGAGATTCAAGAACCAAACTCCCAGATCTCTCTTGGAGGAATTACACTTGCAAGCTTTATTGCAGACTTAAGCGGGGCTTCACACCATCAGAGATTAGTGAGAGGTCAACTGTGGCTCATTTATTACAAAATTTGTGGTTGGGCAATTCTGAGTTTTCATTTGAGCCTATTTCTATGAGTTATATAAGAGACTGAGGCTCAATACTTCAAGATCTTGGAACAACTACAAAGGCTCCACCTAATTTCACACAATTTTAGGTAATCTAAAGAGTTACAATCGAAGGGAAATATAATTTTAAGCATAGTGACACCCACATTCAAACCAAATAACTTTTAAAATTATTCCTTGCTAATCAAAGGACTATAATTTTTCGGAGTCAAGACTGAGAATAATCCAGAACTCTATCTCCATTTAGCTTCATGGGAACATTAAAGATCTTCTCTTGCCTATAAACCAAGCACAAGAAGTGTTTTGAACTAAAATTTAGTTGAAAATTAAGGCTCCAACCAAAAGCAGAGAGAAAATTGGGACATAATTTATCCAAACAATGAGTGTCTTCTAGGAGCTTAACTGATTGTCACTGAATGAGAGGGGTAATTTAATGACCACTAAATCAAGCCTATTGCTGTCTTTTAAAGATTTCCAATACCAAATTACCAGGTTCCTCACATTGTCAAAATATTCTAGAATATTAAATTGGCCAAACTAGATGTTCTCAGAACTTATAAAGTTTGAAAGAGTAGGCTAACACCTCTTGGTTATCAATGAAGGCAAGGACAATGTCTCTGTCATACTTTAGGGGTTGAAAGAGTGCAAGAATCAGTACTCTTCACGACGAGATAAGGCTTATAACTTGGCATTGCTAGCTGCTGCGATTTTCTATGATTTTTAACACTAGTCAACTTGGTGTTAGCCTAACTGTTAATTTTGAGCGGTTCATGAATCAACAAAATTGTGAAAATATTTTCAGTTTTAATCCTGATGTTTGATGCTTTATTTATTCAGTGTTATCAGATTATGATAAGATGTCTGCAATTAGCTCATATGCTTAAACAAGGAGGCATGATAGCAAGAGAAAGCTAAGATGCTTCTAAACTTAAAATATTGAGAAAATTTCTTGGATGGAAATTTGGGAAAATGAGCCTAGCCTATGTTGTTGCTAAATCAGCCATGAAAGCTAATATAAATAAATTATTCTCTGACTTTGGTCGCTTGCAAGCTTTCAGAAATATATCTATGCTTCATTTAAACGAAAGAGTTAAAGGAAAATGTATTTCAGCAGCAATTATTAGGTCTTGAGAAAGAACTTTCTGTGTAGAAGGAGCCTTAGAAAACACTCTAGCTTTACTCTGAAGGCTATTTCAACAAAATAAGTTAATGGGCTTCAGTTCTTTGATTCTTGATATCTTTTGGAATTCACTAAATTACCATGGAAAAATATCTTTGAATTTCTAAATTTTTAAAAGAGTGATTCATGTGTCATTAGGTCCAAGAATATGGAAATCGCTCAAGTTGTTCAAACCACTACTGAGAGTTATGATCAACAACTCTAGACCTCAAGCATTGTATATAATGCAGAGAGTCTCCAGTTTAAGACTTCCAAGCTTCTCCCATCGCTTTTCCATGATGTGTGACCTCTTCCAAAACTAAGCTGTAAAAGTTTGATGTTGGAACAAAGAAATAGTCAGAGTCTCAACTTTTAAGTGAATTACTCCTTTTAAAAATATAATGTTATTTTAAAAACTAAAAGGGATGCCTCTGAAAAGTAAAGAGAGCTTACCAGGACCCTAATTTAGCTGTAACTTCAGCATCCTTCTACCAATTCTTCCATTAATAAACTCTGGTAAAAATATTTAAGGATGAATTTAGGTATTATTTAGTTAATTTCGAATTAATTTAAGATGAGAAATAGCCGCTGAGGCTAAGCAAAAGACAAAAGAACCTACAATACCTCAGGTACAAAAACAAGCTTCAGAGGATCTATAGGTCTTCTAGAAATTAGTGAAGAATTGTTGTTAATATAGCCACTGATGTCCAGATCTGAAGAAGATCATCCAGCAGCTTTACATTCTTCTAGTGATTTCATAATTCGCTGTAGCCACCAGATCTTTTTAGGTCGATTTCTTTGTGTTTCAGAGTCGTGAGTTTTGAGTACTAAAGGATTATTATAACAAGCATGTGGTCAGTCTACTAAGTACTACTTTATGTTGCCATAAAACTTAAAGACATTTGGTAGAGCTAATTACAACCTGAAGAAAACAAAATATTGCCTTTAAGCTATTTTTGAAGCCCACCAAGCGAGAAGGAAGCTCCCATAAAGTTAAAGAGTTGCTAGGATTATAGTCTGAAACTATTGTCTTCTATTGATGTTGTACTAGTTTATATACTTTCTAGTCTGTCAGTTTTTAAACCTCTTTGGCATTCTTTCCTTAGCTAAAGAGTAAAAATAATCACACATTCGCATCATGACGAGTCAATAAAGAGGGTGAAATTAACCCTATTTGTAAAGCTTTACTGCGAAGGCTGTCCAGCAATTGATTTGAGTGGAGAACCCAAGTTATTTCCATCAAAAATAACTGCCACGCACTTCCCGTATAAACCAGACTCACAGTAAAGAATAGTCTTAGAATAGGGCTCCCAATGTTTTATTTCTAAATTGCGAGGAAAAGTTCCAAAGTTTATTGACTGAAGAATGGCATATCGAAAATTGATGTAAAATGGTGAAGCTTACTGCTAAATTGTTGGGCTGCCTCTATCAAACTAGGCTGATTATATCTACATTAGAGCTAGCAATAGTTTAAGTAATTTTTCCAAGGAGCATTAAGGATCCTTTGTGTTCAAATAATGCTCTGGAAGACATAGGAATTATACACAGTTGGGAGGAATTATCAGGCTCTAATAGAAGATTAAGACTATATCAAATTTTATGACTCTTTCCCTCTTTCATTACTGATAGCTAACTTGCGAACGAGTCAGAGATATATTCCTTGGAGAGAAATCAAAGATTGATGCTCGCCCAGGAAGTTTGTCTAGTTTAGGTTTGATTAAAGATGTGTTAGGAAAGTTATGACAACCAAATCAGCAAACTAGATATTGGAATTTCACCAAAATTTTCCTTCGGTTAATCTCGGTGAAAAGCCTCTAATTCAGCTCAATGATAGGTCAGAGTTTTAAAACAGAGAAAGAGATGTTAGACCGAGAATTTATTTAAGAATCTTATAAAACCTATTGTTAATTTAATGTCTTTTCCTTGAGAGTTAAACTAAGATCTTGAGTCCTTTTTCAAACTTTTTGTAGAAGTTTGTTGGCTAAATTTAAAGACTAGAGACTTGTTTATCAGAGAGCTTTGGTTGAATAAAATGTCAGAAAGCCTCTGAAAGATATTTAGGCTCATGGCTAAGACTTATTCTAAGAACAAATTTTAATAACCTTAGAGAAAGAAAGCTACTAATTAGAAGAAATTAAGAGGGATTCCTTTATCATAATTAAGATACTGAAATTAAATGCTAAAGCAGAGACTCGCTTAGAATTGGCAAGGTGATATACTTTGAGAAATAAGTGAACAAACTAACATATCACGATAACTTTGCAAAGTTGGCTTAATTCTTAACTATCACCTGCTTTTTATTTATCAAAGCAACAACTATCAAATGGAAACTTGTAAGATTTAATTGTTTCTTGGAGCTATTAATCGCTAACAGCTTTGCTTATATGTGGTTGACCAATCGATTCAGGAATCTCTGAAATTATTGGAAGATACAAATTTGTAAGGCTTGCTCCTCTATCTCACTTGCTTGCTAGATTACTCATAAATTTGTCTGCCAATCAGTTATTAATTGCTCATACCTAATTCTCATGTGGATCCTTAACGATACAAACTTAGGGAATAAGAGGCCAGAGGGAGGCTAAAATTATAACCGAAGTCTCAGTGATGAATTTTGGAGTAATCAAGCTCAATGGATACGATTCCTAACCCAAGTTTGAAGGAATGGTGAGTTTAGAAAACGATTTTATTTGAAATTTTATCATAAATTAGTTATTTAGCCTTCACTTCTGATTGTGATCTGTAGCCTTCGGAAGTAGATGAGCTCCGTCTTGCTTATGAGTTCTCAGGTGAGCCTATAATAGCATAAGATTACTTCACTTGTACAAGATCCAACAACTTATCGAAATTAAACTCAATACAAATGGATATCAACAATTGAAAGATGGATGCTTACAGTCAGGTTGTACTTCTCAGTGTACCTCTTCTTGCAGACTTGGCACTGGAACTGCCTCCTCTCCTCGATGCTTTTGTGTTGGTGCTGTTTGGAGTGTTTCTTCAGGTTGCCTTTCTGTGTGAAAGCTTTGGAGCAGAAGCTGCACTTGTACGGTCTGATGCCTTCATGCATTCTGACATGGTCAACCAGGTTCCAGATCTTTGTGAACTCTCGGTTGCAGTTGTCGTACTTGCAGATGTAGACAGTGATGGTTCTGCCACTCACAGGAAGTGTTTCAACTCTCTTGGCATGCTTGAAGGGTTTAAGTAGGTTCTCATAAAGTCCAGTTTTAGAAACTTTAGACTCTTGTTTTGTGGAGATTTCTTTAAGTTGCTTGTAGGTTTCATAGTGTAACATCTCATGCGACTTATGAGAGAGAGTATCCTTTAGCTCCTCATTGATTTTGCCATGTTTCTCTTGATTTTGAGTTGTTTTAGTAGTTTCTATATACCAATTTACTTCATGAAAATTAGTCACATCATCCAAGGAATATAAGTTACCTTCAGAGTATCTGGACTTATCTCTCACTGAAATAAATGATTGTTGAGCACAATCTTCAAAGCAAAAAGTATCTAGACTATTGGCAGTGATCATAATGAGACTTGTGCAAACAGCTCTGCACTTAGCTAGGCTCTGCAGGTAGTTTAAAATCTGCATTTTAAGTAAAGCTTGGGAATCCATAATGTATATATCTTATTAATTGTTTTATTCTCAGCTTATAAATGATCCCCAGGGGTTTTGGGGTTTTGGGGTTTTGGGGTTTTGGGG